GGGAGGATGGAGGGCTGAAGACAATAAGCAAGCATCGCCACCCAGCAAATATATACAAAATTAAGGCTAATGAGTTATCAGAAATTCCGACTTACAACAATGTAAAAAATCGTCCTAAAGACGAATACGAAACCAAAAGCATTTGTGAGCAAATTGTGGCGTGTCATCCGGTTTTGATAAAAGCAAGACTGGCTGGAAGTGGCAAGAGTTATATAGGCGAATATATGAAGAATCTAGGTTATAATGTGTTATTCGTATGTCCTAAGCAAGAAACCGAAGCCGACGCCATAACATTAAACAAGCTTTTTAGTATCCCAATAGAAGCTGGAGAAAGACTACCGACGGTTGACCATTCTGATTATAATTGTATTGTGTTTGACGAGCTAGGCATGGCGGGCAAGTATATTTTGAACAGAGTTAGGGAGTTTAAGGATACGCACCCAGATAAGATAATTATAGGAACTGCTGACGGGAAGCAGTTGAAACTTATAGCTGATTTAACTAACACCCAAGACCACGAGACATATTTAAACAACTGTCTGAATCAAATATTTAAATATAAGATTGATCTTAAGATATCTAAGAGACTCAAGACAGAAGAAGGTAAAATTAAATTGAATAATGTATATAATGACATTTAGAAAAGTAAACTGCCCATTAAGGAAATAGTAAATAAACATTTGAAAGTACAAGCGACATCATGGAAGGAGAGCATAACATAGCCTATACTAATGCTAGGTGCAAATGGGTAAGCAAGACCGTAAGAAGTAATTTGGGAAAGACACATACATATGAAATTGGAGAGCATGTGATATGCAGAGTTTATAAAAAAGAAATGGGGCAGGTGTTTAATGTAAATACTACTTATGAAATTATTAGCATTGATGATTGGAAAGTAGAAATCCAAGATATCAAAAGTAAAACTATATTCATGACAAACACCACGACTTTAGACAAGCACTTTATACATGCGTATTGTGCTACATGTCGTTCGTCTCAAGGGGCTTCTGTAGATAAACGCGTTACTATACACGAATGGGATAAATCACATTGGTCAGCCGTGAGTGGATATACACAGCGATTACAAGGTGCAGAGATATCAATAAAGTCAAGTTTTTCATAGCAGACATAGACGATACTGATTTAAATGAAGCACAAGTAACCAGATATTTAGAACATAAGATTAAACATTATAAATTACAAGACATGAAAGCAGAGAGAGAGAGAGAGAGAGATAGACAACAAAAAAACATGATGTCAAATGGTTGTTTGACAGGCTTAATACCAGATGTAATAAATGCAGTTCAGAGATTGAAATAGAAATAAATAATGGAGTAATAAATAGTAATATGACAGCCCAAAGAATAAACAACGATTATGCCCATCATAAGGAAAACTGTATATCTTACTGTTTAAACTGTAATCGCCGGGAAAAATAATATCTATCTTATTTTATATGGCATCTAAGCAAGATAGTATTAATAATGTTTATTATGATAAGGGAGGCTTCGGGTCAAAGAATCGCACTTTACAAGAAGCAAGGAAAAAGGATAACACAATAACTATAAACGATATTAATGAGTTTTTTAGGAAGAATGTAGAACAGAAAGCTAAACCGAGAGGGCAGAATTCATTTGTAGCTCCTAACGCATATATTGAGTTTCAAATTGATCTATTTTTATTAATGATATCCCTAAACAACAAATGAAAGTTGGTATGATGTGTACTGACATATTTTCTAAGAAAATGGTTGTTGTCCCGCTTATGTCAAAACAGCCAGCGGACATTTTAGCAGGACTGATGGAATGTATTAAACAAATGGATGGACAGCCCAAACTAATTTATATTGACGACGAAGGAGCTTATAATAATCAAAGTGTTATAGATTTCTTGAAGGGTGAAAAAATAGAGTTGCATAGAACCAGAGGACACCCAGCATTCGCGGAGAGGGAGATAAGGACGTTTAAAGATAGCTTGTATAAGAGGGTTGAAAACGATGAGAAGGGAAAAACTATTCAATGGACAGACTACATACACGAGATTATATTAACTTTTCACAACGGAATAAAGCACACTTCGCACGGCTTAACTCCGTCAGAAGCAAGAAAGCCCAAACATCAATTAGAAGTGAGTTTAAACTTAGGTATGAAAGCCAAAAGAAATAGAGTTCATCCAGATTTACATGTAGGAAATGAAGTTAAGATATTCAGGAAAAGGAGACCGAATAAAAAGGAGAGAGTAGGCGTATGGACTAAACAAACCTACAAAATAGCAAAGATTGAAAAGAAGTTAGGACAATAATATTATTATATTGAAAATTATGACAGGGCATTGTTGAGACATGAGTTATTACAGGTATAAATTTATTTGATGGAAAAAATATAAAGAAATAACAACTATATATATTATAATTCAAATGGTGGAAACCGAAATCAATAATTATATCAATAAGAAATGCTACAACTGTTGCTACTTCAAAAGAGAAAATATGGAATTATATAAATTAAATCTACCTAATGGAATAGTTAATAATATTATTGGTTATGCCTTGGGTAAAGAAGATTTATGTAAAAACTGTAAAATATGGAGATGTAATCAAACTTCAATAGAAAATCATTTAGAAGTTAAAAGGTTGCTTAACATAAATGTTAAAGATGAAATCTTAATAATGTTAACTGTGTATGATAGACCACCGTGTGATTATGTTAGAGCATTTATGAAAATCAGTAAGAAACATATGAAATGATTAAATACATATTGTGGGTGTTGATTTATCATAGAAAGACAGGCGTTGATTTGAAAGAAGACATTAAATCACATATTGAAAGTGAAAAGTTTAATGTTAAAAATGCAGTGAGAGATACTAACATTATTTTTAAAATGATGTGTGAAAGAAGTAAGATGCATACACAATTTAATAGTTATCCTGAACTTAAATTATAATCATACTATGATTATAACATTTATACACTTATATGTTATAATTATATTTCAATATTTAATTTGATTTCTTGGAAAAAAGTAGTTAAAGAAATATTAACTGAATATACTATATAGTGAAATGGTTGAATTTACTGAAAAAGAGCAAGAACAAATTATTAATGTTTTTGAATAAACAATATACAAATGATATGTTGAAAATTATGGAAAACAGAATTGAAAACAGTAGTTGCAAATTAGTAGATGAAGCTGTTGAACTGAGTAAATTAAATTTACCAACGCCTATTATTCAAAACATTTGTGAATTTAATTATGAAAATGTAGCGAGTGTATATGGTTAGGGTCAGTGATGGAACAAGTAAAAAACCCTGAAAGAGGAACTTGTATAAATGAATATGTTTATTTATTCATTAAATGGGCATTTATAATAACGATGTTGATAGAATAGTGTACTGTTGTCAGAGAACAAAAAATAATTATGATAACATGATAAGAGACTTTAACAAAGTCATTCAATACATGTATGAAAACGAAGATTGCAGAAAACCATTTGTGAGATACACCGAGTTTATAGAATGCCCACATTTTAAATTAGCAGAACCCCATGACGACGATGATTAAAACCATACTATGATTATAACATTTATACCCTTATATGTTATAATGAATGTAAGCATAGTGTTTTATATATTGAAGAAAAAATCCTACAAGGAGCACCACGCCTAAATAAATGTATGATGAAACTGATGAAACGAAGGAGGAGAGTGATGTTGTTGCTGTTCTATTTTTTGTCCTAGAAATGGACAAATCGTTTTCAGACAGTTTTCTTTATGACGACACATATGTTTGCAATATATTTTGCAAAAACATATTTTTGAAATGGATGAGGCGAGGAGATTGAAGAAATGATGTTTTGAAGGGTAGTTGGTAAAATGAATGAGGCGAGGAGGAAGGAGAAAAGGATGGCGAACAAATTGAAAAAATGATGAGACAAAAACGGATGAGATGGACAGAAAGGAATGTAGAGAAATGATGAAAACAAATAAGGGTAGAAAATGGAAGATGAAAAAAGTTGTAGGGTGGGGTGTATGGATGAAATAAATTTATTGCTAGGCGTGGCCCTCGACTACTTTAAAACCCTGGTTCTTCCTCACCCCCGGATTCCCCTGTTGAACAGAATGTTGTGAAGGATGTGGCGGTCAAAACCCTGGTTCTTCCTCACCCCCGGATTCCCCTGTTGAACAAAATGTTGTGAAGGGTGTGGCGGTCAAAACCCTGGTTCTTCCTCACCCCCGGATTCCCCTGTTGAACAGAATGTTGTGAAGGATGTGGCGGTCAAAACCCTGGTTCTTCCTCACCCCCGGATTCCCCTGTTGAACAGAATGTTGTGAAGGATGTGGCGGTCAAAACCCTGGTTCTTCCTCACCCCCGGATTCCCCTGTTGAACATAATGTTGTGAAGGATGTGGCGGTCAAAACCCTGGTTCTTCCTCACCCCCGGATTCCCTTGTTGTGAACAGAATGTTGTGAAGGATGTGGCGGTCAAAACCCTGGTTCTTCTTCACCCCCGGATTCCCCTGTTGAACACAATGTTGTGAAGGATGTAGCGGTCAAAACCCTGGTTCTTCATCACCCCCGGATTCCCCTGTTGTGAACAGAATGTTGTGAAGGATGTAGCGGTAAAAACCCTGGTTCTTCCTCACCCCTGGATTCCCCTGTTGAACAGAATGTTGTGAAGGATGTGGCGGTCAAAACCCTGGTTCTTCCTCACCCCCGGATTCCCCTGTTGAACAGAATGTTGTGAAGGATGTGGCGGTCAAAACCCTGGTTCTTCCTCACCCCCGGATTCCCCTGTTGTGAACAGAATGTTGTGAAGGATGCGGCGGTCAAAACCCTGGTTCTTCCTCACCCCCGGATTCCCCTGTTGAACAGAATGTTGTGAAGGATGCAGCGGTAAAAACCCTGGTTGGAGCCCACACTCGAAGGACCGAAATCCATTTTGGGGTTCTCCCGATGCCAATACAAAAGCGACGAGACCCGCGTCTCTCGAAGCGCTTCCGCCTCCAGGGAGTTGCCTCTCGTCAAGTGGCACCCTCGCGTCGGCAGGTGCCCAAACCTCGGCTTTGGTTGAAAAAGACGGCGGACTCGGGAAAAACAATCTCCGTTGCTTTCTGCTCCCCTGCTAAAAGTTTTACTTTTAGTGGTTTTTATGGAAAACCCAGTAGTTGGAAAACAATTCAAGTCCTAACATCCAAGCAAAATGCACCAAAGAAAATGTTGGCGGGGCAAGTCTTTTTACGCAGTCAGCTTTTCAGGGCTTGGCCCCTGTAGGGTTGTGGGAGGGCTATCCCAGGATAAGCCCAAGATATGCCCAGGATAAGCCCAGGATAAGCCCTTAATAGGGCCTTCAGAAGGGGCAAATAAGGGATAGCCCCCCTCCCCATAGGCCCTTAAAAGGCGACGGAAGGGGCATGCTGACATGAGGGAATTTCAATCACAGATTCACGTAGTGTGCTTGGTTCATGCTTTGGGTTCAGGGGCTTGGGAGAAAAAGGGGGGAACCGTCAGCCGCCAGCAATGCGCTTGAAAATTTCCGGTGGTCCCATTTGGTGTTAAGGCAGTGGGATCAAACCCAGCGCCAAATGCAAACCACAAACTAGGGGCAGAACCGAAGCGGACAAGGAAAAAGTATGAAACAGTGGAACAAATGGTTCAAATGGCCATCGAAGAGGGTCGATTGAGCCTAACCCCACCCAGCTGAATCAACCAAAACAGGTCAGGCCACTGGTCCGCCTTGCCGGCCGCGGCCTCCTTCTCCATCTCCTGGGCCACAACTTACGCTCAAATCGGAGTCCTGGAAGTTCAAATAACTTAGCTGCGACCATGGTGAGATAACTCTGGAAAGGGTTCGTCCACATATTACCGGGCTTGTAACTTACTAAGTTGGTTGAACCCGCAGGTACAAACGGCTTGCTTCTGGCTTCATTGAAGAGGGCGTTCTATTTGAGGCGCAAGGGTGTGCGCTGCTTTTGAGCCGAAGGGAAGCCCCTAGACGAAAAGCAAAAAGGGCACCAATCAAAGGAATCCCGCATGAATTAACTTCCCACTAAAGGGCGCCGCAGTTGATAATTAAGCATGGTGCCCCAGATAAATCTGCAGTTGGTTCCAAGTACGAGCTGAGCATAGTTTGTGCGTGGGGCTCCCTCTTTCAAAAGTCGCGGCTGCGTTTGTGGTTGTCTTGAGACAGGGGGACCCCGACAGACAGAGACAGACAGAGACAGACAGAGACAGACAGAGACAGACAGAGACAGACAGACAGAGACAGACAGAGACAGACAGACAGAGACAAACAGAGACAGACAGAGACAGACAGAGACAGACAGACAGACAGACAGACAGACAGCCAGCCAGCCAGCCAGCCAGACAGACAGACAGACAGACGGACAGACAGCCAGCCAGCCAGACAGACAGACAGACAGACACAAACACAGAGACAGAGACAGAGACGCAGACAGACACAGACACAAACACAGAGACAGAGACAGAGACGCAGACAGACACAGACACAAACACAAACACAGAGACAGAGACAGAGACAGAGGGGCAGACACAGAGACACAAACACACCAACACAGACACACAGACACACAGACACACAGACACACAGACGCACAGACAGTTCGACACAGAGACGACACAAACACGCAGACACACAGACACAAACACAGAGACACAGAGACACAGAGACACAGAGACACAGAGAAACAGAGAAACAGAGAAACAAAGAAAGAGAGAAACAGAGAAAGATAAATAGAGAAACTGACACACACCAAAGACACAGAGACAAAGACACAGAGACACAAAGACACAGAGACACAGAGACACAGAGACCCAAAGACCCGACCCAGAGGGACACAAAGACTCAGAGACACAGAGACCGCTTCCTCCGCTTCCCCCCAAGCGACTTGCCAAGGATCGACCAAGGCGGCCAGTGATTCATCGGTCAGCCCAGCGCCCAGGAAGAGGGACAAGGCATCGGCCTCCCCGCATTCGCAACCCAAAAATCACAACCCAAACCGTATGGCTGAAAAAAGTATTGTCTTTTTTGCAGCCCCTACTAAGAATGAACAGAACCCCCAAAACAAAACACTAAAAAACCAAACAACATACCACAAGCAGTGATTGAGAAGTTGCTTCTTTTCCCGGGAGCCTGGACCCTCAAACAACCCTCACAGATGGGAAATTGCCTCCAAATTATAGGGCAGCCTCTGTTTTTGTCCAGGTATGCATGTGGTTTTCCCGTTTTGCAGGTGTGTGTGTGTGTGTGTTCTTGTTTTGCCTCCTAAACCTACAAAGCACGGCTTGGCAGTTTAGATCAGACATGCTCCGAGCATTCGTGTTGTATGCTCCGTGCGGGTGGTATCAACTCCCGATCCTTTTTGAGCAACATTTGCAATGGCTTGGTGCCGACCCACCATTTTGACAGATTTCTCCGTAAAGATTCAGAGCCCCAGCTGTTCAGTTACCCTAGGAAAAGAGGAGCCCTTGACACCGGGGAAAACAAGAAAAAGAAAAACAAACACTTGTCAAAAAAGAAAATAATAATAATAATAATAATAAATATATATATATATATGTCAGGCTCACCACTTTCAGGGAGGCTTGCGCAAAACTCGTGTCATCGAGCGGTCGCTTCGCCCTATCCGGCCCCCTTCGCTGGCTCCAGCTCGACGATTCGAGCGAAATGCTGACCACCCCGCTCACTTTCGTGGATGGCTCCCCGAAAAGGTCCAAACTTGATATCTACCACTACAATGGTCCAAACCCGAAAAGCTCTTAACTTTCATGAACTCAGCCAGTGAGCCTCGAACCTCAATTGGCGTTTTGAGGGCTTCGAAAAACGAACAACTGGGTGCTGGCCACCCCGATTTGCCCCAGATCGCCCCAGAAAAACTCGCCTCCACGTGGGGGAACTGCCGGCGCAAGGCTGGCAGCCCCTGCTGGGCCAACGTCAGGTCCAGGGCGGGGCGCGGAGCCGCCATCGACGGAGATTGATTTTTTTCTGGGCGGGGAAAATCCCGAGAAAAAAAAAGCGCCTGTAGAGGACTCGTCGCCTCAAGGGGCTGCCGTTGTTTATCTTTTTGGCGGAAGGTCGACTTGCGGCAAGTGAGTGAAATGTCTAGGGAATCTGGAGCTAAATGGCTGCAGAATGTCTTGTGTGTGTGTGTGTGTTACATGGGTTTGTCTATTGAAATCAGGGAACCCCTCAAGAGTGGTGCGCTTTCCTTTGACGCTGCCCCCCAAAACAAACACCAACCTAGATAGCCAAGTTGCCGTTTCTTTTCAGTCACTGTTGCTGGTATTGGGGGTAAAGTGCATGGAAAAAAAGAGCAGCAACTGGCGATGCAGGAAGGAACAACAGGGATCCTTACATCATACACCTGAACATTGCAACTTGAAAAAAACATGTGGTTTCCAACTGTATTTTTTGGCGGGAAAAAACAACATGTTTCCAATGGTTGCAAAATGGAGATCTTTTAAGGAGCCCTGAACAAGTTGCAGCGCGTTTTCCCCCAAAATTTGGGTGACACCGCCTGTGCCACGGTGACCCAACCTCCCAGGAGATCTCATCCATCAGCTTCTCATGCTTGATCCGCGCGTTCGCCTCAAGGCGTGCCGTGATTTGGGGTGTTTTTCGGGGAAGGCAAGGTGTCCGTGGAAATCAGTTGCATGCTTCTGATTGCGTTGAACTGAGCTCAGATCTGCGAAAAGCTGTCAAGTTCTTGGAATGGAAGCCCAAGCACTAAACCAACTAAAACACCCACTGAACCGGAGGGCTGATGGAACCGCCAAGTCTTCTTGGGCTACTCTCCGGGGCCCGGGGCCCGCGCACTATGCACTGCTCCCGAAAGCTGGGGGCTCGGGCAAAGGCCCAGGCCGTCCTTGACAAATCCTGGCGACTCCGACTCCGGGCTCACACTCCAAGATGCGAAGCCCATGGAGGCGCCCGGCGCGGATCCAAAGAATCGACTCAAGCCAAGGGCTTATCTTTGAAAGGGGAGCCCCCCCAAAAAAAAACAAAAACTAAACTTTAGCAGTTAAGTGGTTGGATTCCAACCGCTAAACCACAATAAGCAAAAGTGTAAAATGTTTCCCAACAACAAACATGTTATGGCCATGGGCCATTTGCAAATCGCCTGGCTTTTGGCCATGGGCCATTTCCTGCAACCCAAAGCCCAGGCGCAGACGTTCCAAAGGCCCAGGGCCCCGCAAGCCAACGTCCATTTGGCCGCGCGCGCCTGAGGGTTCATGTCCTGCACTTTGGCCACCACTGCAGTGGCGATCGCCTGGATGCACGCGCCCGGGACCCGGGCCGGCGGAAAATCGATCGATCGGTTTTTTGGTCATTGAGTTTTGGGTGCCGGGCAGACGGCTTCCAAGCACACACAACGGGATCCAAAAGTTCAATCTGGAAAACCCTCTGGCCCCTTCGCACGGATGGCTTCAAGCCTTAACCTGGCACTTCCCTCCAAGCGAAAGGCCGTGGAGCCAAGCATACGTACCAACGCACCCCCGGATTTCAGCTTGCCTCTTTGCACAGCTGGCTGTTTGGTGGTGGGGTGTGGGGATGGTCCTCTCCTTATGACTTTTATGTTGTATGTTGTATGTTGCTGCTTTTGGTGTGGGGGATTTGTGTTGTATGTAAGTTGTATTTGTGTTTGCTTGGTGTGGGGGGGGGGGGGCATTCTGGTTAATCACCTCCCCCCAACCCACACCAAACAGAAAAGAATCCGGCGCGGCCATGTGCTTTCCTTCCCCGAGGACTGATTTCTCGTTCTGCCGAGCTCGCCTGCATGGCCTGCTCCGCCTTCAGGGACATCTTGGAGATGCCCCAGGCTGCGTTGCACAGCTCCAAGGTCTTGAACCTGGCCCCGAAGGCCCCGCAGGCCCCGAAGCTCGGAGCTCCGCTCGCCGGTTCACCAACAACCTCAGCATGCCACATGCCACCTGCATGCCACCTGTTGTAGGGGTTCCTTGAGGAAACTGATCTTCCAGGTACCCTCCAATGCTATGTTAGTGGGATGAAGGGTACCTGGAGTGGGAGTTATAACCCAAAATTAACCCAGGTGAACCCCACTTCGCGGGCAGTGATGCGCAGGTAGCTTAGATTGCCACCCAACATGAAACCTGCTTGGATGTTCCATGATTCAACCAACTTAGGTTATGAATCATGACGACCAAGCCCAGTTCCCCATTAACCATGGTTGCACCTACTTCCCGGACGTTGGTTGAACACCCAAGTGTGGGAGGTTGCCCCCAATTCGGTGCTTGGATGTTCGCTTCCATGTTTGTAAGTGGTTGGCCGTCCGCGTTGACTAACATCACTAAGATGAAGGTTAACCCCACTTAGGGGGACTGATGCAAGGCAACTCTGGTGTAAACCCTTGCAACTAGGATCAACCTCCCACCCAACATGGAAACCTGACTACTTCGATGTTCAACCGACGTCAGGTAAGCAGGTAGCACCCGTGGTGAGATGATTGGGGGGTAATCGTGCCCTCACCAGTCAAATAACCAGTTTACCTGAACTCGGTTGAACACCCAACTGGCCTCTTCGAAATCCATTGCCAAATTAATCAAAATCCCTCCGCTTAATCCCTCTTCTGCTTGGATTGGTCTTCTTTGTCCGTCATTCGCACAAAAAGTGTGACTTGAAACCACCAAAAAGGAGGAAGGGAAACCCACGCAAAGCAGAATCCGCAATCTGTAAACCGTAGAGTCGAATCTGCAAACCACCAGCAAGTGCTTGTGCGTGAAAAATAGGTAACGTTGCCCGCCCAGGGTAAAACAATAAGACGCCCTTTCCCCCCAGCCAAAGCAAACTTCTACAAGTTTAGTTTGGTGGAGACGTTTGTCAATCACTACCCCGCATCCAAAGAGGACGCAAACCGGTATGTGTCAACACAGGGGACCCCAAAACAAAAACTTCCGTGGTTTTCTTTTGGTTTCCTCAGTTTCTGAGTGGATTGGCCAAAGAAGTCCGAACTTTTATGAACTCTTTCTGTTTACCCCCAGAAATGTCTTCCCAAAAAGGTGAAAAGAAAAGGTGCCCAAACATACCCAATACCCAACTCACTTGCGCTTTCAAGACCAGAACTAAAAGGAGATCACCTTTTGGGTGCCATGACGAAAAGGATGGGAACCCCAAAAGTTGGAAAACCCAAAACCGTCAGATTCCGTCGATTCGCTTGGAACTGAGCCACTTGCACAGTGCCCCCTTCGTCGAGTCGAGTCGGGCTGCGGGGCCTGTCGACGGTGGCCTCCAGACGCTCCAAGATGAGCACCAGCTTCTGGTCCAAGACCTAGCCGCTAGCCCGCTGGATCGATGCGCATGCTCACTTGCTGAATGGATGGCCAAAAACAAGTGCAAACTTTATATTTACCACTCATGGTCTTCCCAAAAACTTTAAAGTTTAAAGTTCATGAACTCAGGAAGTGAGCATGTCCGATGCCTCCAGTCACTGTTTGGCTTGGTTCGGCTACCGTTTTACCCTGGTAAGCCCAAAATGGGTTGCGCTGCTTGCCATGCTTGCCGATCCCAAAAACCACGGCACTGTGTTTTTGTGTTTGTTGTTTTGGTTGTGGGGGGGAGCCAAACATAAGGCCCGACACAGAACCAGGTGAAATGCGACAAACTAAGGCAAAGCCTCAGGAGCAGGAGCGCGCATGTTTGCCCCTTACACATCACCCAGCCAAGAGGACACCCATAACTTGCTCAAGCGGGACAGTTTGACGGACCGTCCAAAATATGAAGTAAGTCGCTAGGAGCAAGCTGGCAACCTTGTAAATGAACATAATTGACCTAGACCTCTGGCCATGTGAAGGGGGCAATTCAGTGGATACTAAGCCACCCATGGGGGCGTTGGACCGGGGGTGCTGTGAAAGTCCCCGGTTTGGGGCGCCGGCTGCCAGCTTGCCAAAGGAGTACAGCAGGTTGGCGCAGCCTTCAGCTTCGGTGAGAACATCCCGACAGAGCGCACCGTGTGTGCTGACTTTGCAACCCGGATGATAACCACAAACTCAGAAACTTTTGTTTGCAGGCCCCACTGAACATGAACAGAACCACAAAAAAACAAATCTAAACCTTTGCAAACAAAAGTGGAGTGCCGTATGCCATGATGATCAACCACTTGCCGCCCTTGCCTCCCTAAACTCTCCCAAAACCAAACTATAAAGAAGCATTACTCATTTCACTTGTCCGGGCCTGGCAATGATTGAAGGTGAAGTTGTTGGAGGTGACCAAAAGTGCCCCTCCCATGGGTCGACCTTAAGGGTCATAGACATTCATGCGCTTTGGACAGGTGAGCGCTTCTGGCTTCGGGAGAGAGGCTTCGGAACCCGATCCCCTGAGAAAAAAAAAAAACGATCCACTCCTCTCCTGCACAGATGGAGCTTCCTTAAAGTGGTCCATATAGACTCGGATGCCCAGTGGATTTCCATGGGGAAAAAGGGCACCATTTTTTTTGGGGGGGGGGTTGGTTGAGTTTTTAGAGGGAACCCTTACCCCAAAAAATGGAAAAAGGGGCACTACTGGGCAACAGAGTAGAGGACTAATCCCAACACAAGCCCAAGGCAACGGCATTGAGGATCTGCGTGGGCTGCCTTGTGGTAGGCCCGCTCAGCAATGGCCTGGCCAGATATCTAGAGGTGTTGGGTCTCACCCCTGGTGAACCACTGAAATTGCGCACCAGCTGACCCCCGCAAAGGGGGAGGGGGCAAATGGAAAGAGCAAATGAGAAGTTGAAGTAGGACCCAGGTTCATAGGGGAAGTTCCGTCCAAAGGATTTTCGACAAGATGGGACGCCAAACGCTAGCCGTTAGCCTCACCAACCAGTCACGAACCCATGCCCCAAGGGGCCATGATCAGCCATACGGTTGGCTGTTTTAGGCACCCCTCACTGGACTAGTGCAGCAACCTGGCAAAAAATCTACCAGTCTGGTCAGAACAGAACAGTCACTGAAACCAATCGCAGGGGAAACCTTACGCGGATTCCTCTACACCAAACACTGGCTGTTCGCA